TCTTGTACAAAGTGTTGAAACTATCCAATCAGGAAGCCTCCCAGTCCAGGAACTGGCACAACAGGTACACAATATGAAGTTGTGCAAAGCCCCCCCTCCAGTCACAGCTATTACCTGCTCTTCAAGTAGGAGCTGTGAGGACCCCTAGATTGTGCGCCAAATCTGAACAGAGCAGTGCAACCCTGTGCAGAACCAAAGATGGAAACACTCCAGTTCCCAGATCCAGGGGACCTAAAATCCACAGCCACTCAGTCTTGGCAGGGTTGAGCCGCAAACTGTTCTTTCCTATCTAGATTCTCACAGCCTCCAGACACTGGAACAGGACCATGACAGCTTCATTTTGATGACCATGGACAGAGATGTACTGGGTATCATCATATTAATACTTCACCATGTACTGATGGATGATCTCACCCAGCAGCTTCATGTAGATATTAAAAAGGAGGGGGGAGAGGGGAGAGCCCAGAGGCACCCTGCAAAGCAGGGGCTTAGGACTTGACTGCTCCCCTCCCATCAACACCAGCTAGAACCAGTCCCAAAGAAAGGAGAACCACCGTAAAATAGTGTCGCCCCATTCCCAACGCCTTAAGCCAGTCCAGGGATACTATGATCAATGGTACTGAAAGCCACTGAGAGATCCAAGATGAATGCACTACCTCCCTCCTGAGCTCACTAGGTCATTAACAAGCATGACCAAGCTATCTCAGTATTATACTCTGGTTTGAATTTCAACTGGAAAGGGTTCAGATAATCTGCTTCCTCCAGGGCCCTCTGAAGCTGGAAGTGGACCACCTTCTCAACAACCTTCCCTAAAAAGGGAAGATTGGAAAAGTTGTCCAGATTGACTGGATCCAATAACGGTATCTTGAGGAGGGGGTGCACTACCCCCTTTTTCAAAGCCAGTGGAACCACCCCTTCTCTCAGGCATTTGCTACCACATGGATCCACTCACATGCCCTATCTCTGGAGGCCTTAACCAGCCAGGAGAGGCATGGATCTAAAATACAGGTAGCTGCATTCACAGCTCCAAAGATCCTGTCCACTTCTTGTGACTAACAGGCTCAAATCTGTTTGAGCATTAGTTGCAAATTCCTGCAACTAATGTTCAAATCCCAGGTAACGTACAAGACTGTAACTCAGTCACCTCCAAAGGATCTGCCCAACCCAGAGCAAATTTGAGTGAATCCATCCACCAGGTGTCAAAAACAATCCTCACAGCAATCCTGCAGATGTTGTACCGTTTCCTCTCTACCTGGAAGGGACCAGGTCTTCCTGAAAAGGTCTACCATCCAACACTTGGAGAACACATTAAGGGGAGAGAAATAAGCCTTTTTGTCACCCTCATTACCACAAGGTAGGCTCTAGAAAGGCTCTTACCTGTGTCTGGTCAGATTAACTCCTAGTTTTCCTCCAATGACCCTCTAGGCATCTCTTTTTTAACTTCATCCTCTGGAGGTCCTCTGAAAAATGGGGTGCACTGGGGTCTGTGCATAGAGAGAGTCTGCATAGGTGTAATCTAATCTAATGCTGCTGCTGCTGCTGCTGCTGCTGCCAACTCTTTACAGGCAGCGACCAAGGCCTCAGGTGAACCATATATCAAAGCCTCAGGGAAAACTCCAAGTTCCCTCTGAAATTCAGTGGCGTCCATTAGGTCCCTGGGACAGGCCAGTTGAATAGGCTGTGGGTTGTGTTACAGTAAACTCCAGGATCACCAGGGAGTGATCCATCACATCAAAGTCACATCACCCCAAGAAAAAAGCCAAGTCTAACTCGTGACCTGCCCTGGGGGACAGGCCTGCAATAAGCTGAGTCAGGTCCATTCAGAACTCCATAAGTCCATGGTTGCCTAAGGTTCAATAACCAGTAACTGGGAATGTAGGCAGAGGGTTGGAGTGTGGGATTGATACAAGACTTTGCTCTCATGCTCCCTGTGTGCATCCCATCCCCACCTCCTGCCATATCTCCCATTGCCTGTCATCACAATATTCTCCCCCATCTCTAATCCCCTGACCAATCTCTCACCACCACCCCCTGCCCCTTTTTCCCAGCCATTAAGGTCCATTCACACCCCACTCATAAACCCTCTCCTCTAAGCTGGTAGGTTAGCACCAGGATGCTTCTGACAGTGCATTTAGCACCTCTGAGCCAACCCCCCTGCCTACTCACCCTCAAAAATCCAACTAACCCTTTCTCACCAGAGGTGGAGGGCAAAAAAAAGCACACAATCTTACCAAACTAATGCAGGGCTCTATTCCCCTTCCCATTCCACCCCCCAAATGTGTGCATGGGGGAATAGATGTCTCAAGCCTCAGCCATTCCTCAATCACTCTATCCCATAACCTGCCTCCATCCCACTCACAATCCTTCTTCCAACTTCTAGGCAGCTGCAGGACACTGGCTGAGCTTCGCCAAAGGTCATCGGCCAGCTCCCACTCCTGATGCTGCCTGACGCTACCACCATGCTTCATCCTCAGCCCTCCATAAACTCAGGGCCGGCTGAGACCATCCATCTTGCTCAACCACCAGACAACATTGGGAGCAGATCACAGCAAGCTGGGCATTGAGACCAGTGTTAGAAGGTTGGGGCATGTAGACATTTTTATATATTAAGACATTTAGATGTTTAAACATTTAAATGTCTTAATATATAAAAATGTCTACATGCCCCAACCTTCTAACACCAGAACACAGAGGAGAGTCTTTGTTGGGGCTGCCGTGAAAGACATGCCCCCAAGCAACTGGGTGGAAACCTTTCTTAATAACTTCTTAACAGCTAGTCAGCAGCTCCAAATGCAGCACTGCTTCTTCCTCCTCACCACCAGCCCAGTACTGCCACTGCAGTATTCTTGCCGATAGCCTGATTGTGATCTGGGCACTTGGCAGCCAGCTTGCACTTATGACGGTTGCAGCGTCCTGGGGTCACATGATTGCCATTTGCGACCTTCCCAACTGGCTTCTGGCAAGCAAAATCAATGGCAAAACAAGTTATAGGCAAACTGGATTGTAGAAAAAAAGCCACATCATCAATCAGTTTGCAGAGAAGCAGACATCTGAACTAGAAGGGAGATGGAAGCAGACATATTACCTATTAGCTTGGGCTAATACAGTGGTGAAAACAAACTCAGGCCTGCATGTTTTCCTGTGGTAAGTCCTGAGCATCAAATAATATGGAGTGTGGGCCAAAACTCTTTATACATGATTATTGATACTATTGTCCATTAACTGAAGATTGCTTAAACAGGTTAATTTTTGAAGGTGTTTTCTATACATTTTATTTAATTAGTGACTCATGTTGTTGCTGTTTTAAATGGTCTGATAATTTTTCCTTTCCAATATTTGGAAAACTTGGCAAAATATAAGTGCAAATGAGCGAATGATAAAGCTGACCTTTTTTGAAAAGTCGAATTTTCTGTACCGTCTGAGATCATTACATGTGATCATAAGGGCTCATTGTGGGTGTGTTTGTTCATCTTCACTTTACAAAATAGGAAGTCAAACTCTGTACTAACTGTTGTAATGATTGAAGAGATAGGGGGAAAGAAGGTACCAACTGTCCCTAGTTAATCTCTGTTATTTTGCTGCAAACTAAATATATGAAGTGGACCCATGATTTAAAGCATCATAAGGAATAACTGACCGCTGATTAAATTATGCTAGAATTCTCTCTTCTAATACATCAGATATACATTTCACAATGGAAATTATGGCATTTATGATAAGGGATGTACAAAAGATTTCAGGCTTGAAAAGGCTGTTATGAGCATGTTGAGGTTGGAACAAAAAGTCATGTTCAAACAGCTTTGTCCTTATCTTTGAATAAAATGCACTGGTTTTGTTCCGAACTTGAAACAGCCATTTTGAACAATATTGCTTCAATTGTTCTGAGAGTCTCTGTTTGTCTAAAACCAACTGTGATTGGCTTTATTTTTTTTTCAGCCCACTATAAAGTGATTCTATTTCTACTGCTGTTGGAACAAAGTAGGGGGGGATGGGGCAAGGGAAAAATAGCATTTATTTAAATGCATGCTCAGAAATAGATGCTGCTATTAGGCCCCAGTCACCAACTTGTTTGTATGTTAGAGAGACAAATCTCAAGCCAGTAGACAGAGAAGTATATATTTCTGCTCCTGTTCTTGTTCAGGACTATATTGAGTGAATCATACTATATATGGTTTCTTGCTAGGCTTCTATAGCTGTTTCTGTGGGCAGGGTGGGAAAAAATGTACTTAAACTGTTACTTCTACCATTTCTTGTAGGAATTTAAATTTTTTTTTTCCAAAAAGTTTGTTTTGAAAAACCATTCCCTTGGCCATTTGTACATAAAGTGGGCAATAGGCCCTAGGGTGAAAAATAAAGTAGAAACAAGCTTACTTTTGCAATCCCATTGTTTCCTATGATAAGTTACTGAAAATGCCTCAGCTTTTGTTCTATGGTGGAACATGGAACGCAGAGATGTTCCAAGTTTTATTCCATTAGAAAACAGATGGAAAGTTCCAGTGGAACATTCTGAGTAAGTAGCAGTACTTCTTCTCACCTTTCAAACAGAAAATTTAGTATGGACTACCTTCCAATGACTTTTTCTACTTTGTCCATAACTTTGTTCATAATGAAAAAAAAACTTTATCACTTTCCAAATTTATCTCCAGCTCACATCCTTTCTAAATAGTCGTGTCTCTCATAGCAATATTAAGAAATTTGATTATATCATTATCAATATAATATTTCTTGTGTGTCTGGATTATAAGCTCTAAACCTTTTTCAGAATCTAGTTGGGATGAAGTTAATTCATATTCCTATATTGTCATGTAGTTTGTTTAAACAACTAGGATAGAAGCTGAATCAAGTTGTCATAACTGTGAGAAGTGGTTACATATGCTACATCCCATTAAAAAGAAGACAAATATCTTAACACTGCATGCTTTTCCATATATGTATGTGTGTTTATTCAAAACTGAAAGAAACAGTCTCTCTTATCCTCTTCCTTGAGCGTCTCCCTGTTCCAGTTAGAAATAAAAACAAGCACACATCCCAGGTTCCCTTTCATTGTTGCAATTTGTTTTATTTCTTCCTTTAAACATCCCTTTAAGGGTGAAATGAAATCCAACCATTTACAGAGAAAATGATTTCAGTATGTACACACTGATTTACCATTACAAAATTATTAATATAGGTATTATAAATTAGACTTTAGAGGACTTCTACTTATTTGGTGAGTCCCACATAAACCTTAGCCAACACAGGCCACAAAAGCTATTTCAGTTTGCTAGTATGAGATATCCCACATCCTTTCCTTGAGAAATAGAAGTCCAATTTTCAGGACTTCTCCCTGTGGTAATTATGCAGGACAGTGGTGCATCCTTGTTGCCAATTTTTGCTTTTAAGCCAATGTACCAAGCCTAGTATCTTCAATGACAAAGTAACACAATTACTTCTATGTCCTAAGTGTTATTAAGGCCTCTATTTCCTCCTGTACCCACACAGATGGACTTACGAGCAACATATTTTCTCTTTTAAAATTTCTCCAAAGATGGGAAAACACTCTGGAAGTGGACATAAATGAAGGTGAGGGCACTCCCTTCCTTTATTAAAGCAGTTAGCTTTTAATGGACTAAAAAGACATAATATATTGTCCCTTACAATCTAAGCCAGAATGTGAGTACAGGTCATA